TTCAAGTGGGAACAATGGTCATATAACCCAATCAGCAATTTGCTTTAATTCATAGTGGGACCGAGGCCTTAGAGGGGCTAAGCAGACGGGCGGCCATGGGCCGCCCTGAGAAGCTGCGCCGCGGGACCGAGGCATCCCCACACCTCGATCCTGCGGCGCAGCTTCGCCGCCCCTGAAAGGAGCGCTAAATTAGCGCTCCTTTCACAAGTCAGCGAAAGTGCACCGCAAAAGGCTGCGGCGCACTTTCGTCGACTTTTCCGCCACAGCGCGTGGAAAGGCTGCGGCGGGAGGTTCTCCTCGGAGCGCTGGCCGTGCGGAGGGCCGGCTGCTCCGAGGACGACCTCGGGGAGGGGTTGGGGCACCGATCGTGCAGCTGCCCCTCCCCTTCCCTGCCCCCAAGACGGCCCTTTAAGCCGTCTGCTTAGGGGGAGAATCACCATAACTTAGAAGCAACTTGAAGCCAAGGCACACAAGGACAGAAAAATGTGTGAGTGCTAGTGTAGAATACAACCACAAGATGGCATCAAATCCCAGAAATCAGTACTTTTTTAAACACTTGTCCCTCTAATCATGCAGTGGTTCTCAAACTTTGGCTCTCAAGGTGTTTTAGACTTCAACTCCCAGAGGCCCCATCCACCTTGGCCAACAATCAGGAATTCTGGGAGCTGAAGTCCAAAACATCTGGAGAATCCAAGTTTGGGAAACACTGCATGATTAGCTTGATTCCAAAATCTGGGTTGTGACGGGTGGCAGAATGACAGGTACACTCAACTGGGTCAAAACTGTGATTGGATAAGAATGGAAAAAACTTGGTTGATTGATTGACTGATTGATTGATTGATTGATTGAATTTATATCCCACCTTTCTCCTGAGACGGGATTCAAAGCAGCTGACAATAATTTTAAAAATCAAACTAAAATATTATACTGGAGTCTTGGTTTGGTTCCAGGACACCTGCCACCCCCTTCCCACAGAAGCCAAAGTCTGTAGCTCCTCAAGTCCTATTATATATAGTAGCACAATAAAATGATGTCCCTTATATAAAATGGCAAAATCAAGGTTTGCTTTTTGGGATATATATTTTTCCAAGCCATGGATGGTCGAGTCCGTGGATACAGAATCTGTGGATACAGAGAGCCAGGTATAATTTACAAAAATTTAAAAAAGAAAGAAAGAATCACATCAGAATAATATTTTAATGGTTAAAAAGTTAAAACATAATTACCAGTGAAAAGATTTAACCTCAAATTGGCTAAAGCCATTAGATTTCAACTTGGCTGGATTTTTCCTCCCACCAAGGATAAAAAGAGACTTTTTTATTGCAGTAGAGTGTGCAGGAGAAAATTGCATATGCATGTAGGACTTTCACACATAATTCTAAAAATGTGTGAACATTATGTGCGAAAGTAAACAACAACAACAAAACTACCTCTTTAAAAACACTTCTCATGCTACTTCTGAAATGCAAATATTTTAAAAACCTATATTGCCTTGGATGAGCATCTCCTTTAGTAATGGCTTCTTCCTCAGGACTGGCCCTGTCATTGGACAGACTGAAGAAGCAGATGCTTAAGAGTCTGCAGCAGGAGATCTTTGACCATTCCTCCCAAATCCTAACACACCCACACATTTCCCTCTGTTGGAAAGCTGAGCTTTGTGTCTAACACAAGCTGTTCTGCTCTTCATAAACTGGCCTGTTGTTTGGGCTATGGTGGAGGACATAGTCTTATTAGTGTTGAAATAAAATCAACCTCCAGTCTAGCTCATATCTGTACACGAAGGCAGGAAAGATCTTGTCCTTTGTCTCAGGCAGCAAAACATCTTGGTGTGGTGGTATCCTTTCTCCTTTTTGCCCTGCACTAACAATATTTTGCACATATGGTTTATTTACAGACATACCTGATTGGTAAAGGAGCTGGTTGCCAAACACCGAAAACTGTACGTTGATCTTGGAACATTATCATCTTGATCATGATACTGTTAAGAAATGTCATCACAGCCACAATGTCACAGTAATAATAATATGAATCTTCTTAGCTCCTAGCCAATTATGTGTGTTCCGTTTCACTCTAGATCACAATTTTTTTATATTAAAACATGTAAATGCATTGCTTTGACTGACTGGTAGATCTCTAATGGGCAAGGATTTGTGTTTGGCCAGAGAGGTGGATCCACAACAGCTAAAATATGCTGGACTACAATGCCACGTCCCACATTAAACTTACTCCTTTGTGTGTTATGTGTATCTGCATGAGTATCCCTGCTGAAAAGAGATGCTGGGTAGGAGTGGAGAACTTTCAGCTCTCCAGATGATTTGGACTGCAATGGCCAACATCCATTTCCATTGTTCATGATGGCTTGGGTTTCTGGGAGTTTTAACATTTAGCCTAGGAATTAAACTACACACTCTGGCTTTTAATTCCAACCCCTTAAACTCCACACATATGAAGGCTAAGTGTAATTCCTCATCAGTGAAATATACAGTCATCCCTCCACATTTGCAAGGGTTAGGGTTAGAGGGCCCCTGTGAAAGTGGGAAATCGCAAATATGTTAGCCCCCTTCCAAACATGAATCAGTCTGCTTCCACCAAGAGCATGACCCGTAACTCTCTTTCCAACTTTTCAACATATAGTCTCCCCCCATTTCCAAAGTGCTTCCACTTTCAATCTGATGTTAGCAGTCACCGCTGCAGAGGATCCACATTCTCCCT